AGTTTTACGTTTGTTTCCCTTAACCAACCACCGCTGGGCTTCAGCGTGTTTTGTCTAACTTGGAGTCGACTAGTCGCTGAACTCGTTCGCCTTTTACGAAATCATAGCCCGAACGTCGCCGAGTCCTTTAACCACTCGAACTGCCGTTGGTTCAGGCAATAACCCCATTCTCAGAAGTACTATGCTCGTAAATGGACAGTTGATGTCGTGATCCAGCGCTAGTCCACCATCGTATTTTTAATAGCTCACATTACTCTTCATGAATCTCTACACTGCTATCCGTACTCTTTACTACGTGCAAATGAGGCATAGAGAAGAACTATCTGGTTGGGCGCATACTTATACATGGATCTCATTCCTTTCAAGCGCCCAAATTTACATTTGCTTGTGCACTGGTAGTGGTTTCCCACCGATAATCGTTGTATGTCTCAGAGAATAGGTTCGACTACTTCGCACGAGTTTGTCGCTTCTTAATCTTTCTTTCTAGTGTACCCAAACATGCGGACTGCTCATGCTCGGTAGCACTTGAACAGTCGCTTGATAGATGGCATTAGGCATTTGGCAATGCCGTTTGCCCTAGCCTCCAGATACCCTTCGCCTTACAAGCCCCAAAGCGTGTTTCAGAATGAAGATCGGTCATCAAATGGAGAGAGATTGGCAGAGTGAAATTTGCCCTGTGGTCTGGAAATTTTCCCAAGTTTACGTTTTTCTCCCACCGCTGGGCTTCAGCGTGCATTGTCCAAGTTGGAGTCGACTAGCTCCCCTCCGGTCTTTGCAAGCCACGGACCAGCAGACCCCCGCCTCAGCATCACTTCCCGTTGTTCACCTCACTACTATCACCTGACAGTGATATCCCTGTCGAAATACGATGTCTAAGGTTTCTCCAGTGGAGTGCAGTTCCAGATACACCGTGTCAGAAAATATCAAGTCCGCTACAGCCGTGCGCCGTAGAAATTCAGATCAGATAAAGGAGCTCGCTGCTTATGCCAGAAATACCTTGTTCAGATCTTGTTAACATTATAAGTTAATTGGGCAGTGTACTTGCCACATATATCTGGATTTTTCTTCAAACACTATTTTTGACAACTTGTCCATTCAACCCATCACACCAATGACCGGTGTCTGCACCCCTCTTTCAGTGCTCAGTTGGCATGTCCCTTCGCTCAAACTCAGTCCTTCCCCTCTGGGATCGGCTATAATCAACAGAGAGGAACCTGGCTAAGACCGTTGTCGAGATCCCGTGTTGAGTCACCCAAATTCCGATTTCACCTGGAGTGTATGATTATCTGGAGCGAAGTCTACGAGTTCAAAT